CTAGATCCACTGAAAGCCAACTCTTATCCACTTTCTATCCTTTTGTGGAGTTGTGTGGCACCAAGCAAGGACTCCCGTAAGTAAGGATCATCCCACAAGGAAAGAATCAACTTCATTCTTTTAAAAAGCTGTAGAGAATTAATCTCACTGTGTAAATGCATCTAGTTATTGTGCCCCTTCCCTCAACTGGCAGACATTTAGGTTATTTCCAAAAGGTGATCCTTTGGGAGCCTCAGACACATGGGAAGAGCCCCAAATTCAACTTGCAAATGACACTGTCAGGATTTAACCCAGGGCAATCGGTTGCCAAAGACTTTGTTTTAATACTATTAAAAATTCTTCAGTTTATTCTGTAGGAAAAAAGAAGGTTGACTGAAATGAGAAAGCTCACTTAGTCACCTAAATCCTTGAAGCATCCAGTCACTTGGAAGTGACATTTATTGAGAGCTTGTTGTGTCCTCACTACAGTTGGGTAATGTTATTATTATCATTTTATAGAACAAAACAGATCTTTGTGAACTGATATGGAAAGGTCTCGATGATACATCATTGCATCGAAAAAGGCAAGTTGCAAAACCACTGATGTAGTCTGACATCACTTATAGGAAAACACAGAAACACAACATCAATGTCAGATGATTTCCATGGGTGTACAGATGTGTGTGTGAAGACTTGCCAATTAAAAACACAAAAAGTATTTAAAAGAAAAAGCTCACAGATTACCAAGTTTATCAGAGTTGCATCTGTTCATTCATGATAAAAAAAAAACCTAGTAGTTTTATTAAATGATTATCACAGCCAGAAAGTTCATGACACATCTTCAAATCTCAGAATGACAAAAATCAAGGATAAAGATGTTTTTACTTAATTAAGCACAGGAAGTGCTTAATGTTTTATTATTTGAGGACCAGGACTAGTCAGGGTGGCCCTGTTATATTTGGTTCATCCCAGGGTACAAACTGACTTTTCTTCCTGATTATGGCATGCCAGGAATGTGACAATTTTGCTTCCACGTGTATTATTTATATAAAATAAATAGTTAAAATCTTAAAAAAGAAACAAACTAAAAAAATCCAAAAATATTGACAATTTAAAAACATATTTCAATACAGAGATTTTAGAATATAAAAAAGTGCACCTTAGCATCAATGAAACATGATATATAGATTTAATTATTATGACTTATTCAATAACAATAGTGCATATTTCATAGTAAGAGGGTGATACACATTTGGCATAAATTATGGTATAGGTAATATTAGCCAGACTAATTCTATGAATAAAGCAAGTGGGGCTCAGAATCAGTGCATTCATTCCCAGATACACAGACACAAATTACATCTATTTCTAAAGGCAGAGATACACAGGTAAATGAAAAGGAAAAGTGCCCCCCAGAATATTCCAAATCCACAACAGTCACTCACCTCTAGAGCAGAGATGAGTTGAGCAGTGAGATCAGCAGG